TGAGCCAAGCACGAGATCAGATAGTCCTGTCCAAAGGCTTAGTACGAAACCAGATAGTCCGCTCCCTGGGCCAAGCACGAGACCAGATAGTGATAGTCCTGTCCCAGGGCCTAGTATGAGACCAGATAGTCCGGTCCCTGGGCCAACCACGATATCACATACTCCAACACCGGACTTGAATAGGTCTTTTCAACTACTGGAACAAATTCGTCCGTTGCCGAAAGCTCCAACTGGAACTAAAATAAAAAAACAAAAAGAAGAAAGATGCGCATCTCTTTTTTAACAGATACCCCAGAAAACAGCTTCCTTAAGAAGAACAGTTGAAAAGAAAGCAAAAATCTAGCTCAGTTACTAGAAATTTAGGTGATTGTGATGAAAAAAAAAAAAAGGAGAATTAACAAGACAAATTAAAAAGTCAGCTAGGAAGCCTAAAAAAATTAAAAAGACTGAAGTGCAGGACTATTTAGATAAATAAAATGAAGACTACTGTTTATACTGCTTAAAAAGCTACGACATATGGATTCAATGCAATCAATTATTTCATTAACTATGACGAAGATGATGGCGAAGAAAGTGAATAAGTGTTACTGTCCAACAAAGTAGTTTTTATAATATATATGGGTTACATATTTTGTTTCTAGGTTAAGTTTAAAGAATGATTGCTTTCTGTTTGAACTGTTTTAAATATAATAAATAAAACAAAAATGTTATGGCTGTGTTACAATTGTCTCAAATGTGTCAAATATTTACGTACATGAAGAAAAGCTTTATTTTTAATAAATGCTGAATATGCTGTTAGATTTTCACATTCTTATTTTTGTTCATACTAGCAGGAAAAAAACTAATGCAAAAATTGATACATTTGTACCCGAACTCCCCTTCTACTTATTTTATTTAATCAATGTCCGAACCTGTATAAAAATTAGGGTAGAAGTAGTAAATAAAATTGAATTCCTAACGTGTTCTTTGCCTTCTATCATTTTAATTTGTAACTTAAAAGTTTAATGTAGGTACCTACCTAATTATTAGATTTAATTAATGGTAATTATTAAAGTGTTTTATTTGTTTCTTCAACATACAACAATTTGAGATGTGTCCAGGCCGTTGGAGTCTATGCCAGTCGTTGCTTCGTCTTTTTGTTGTATGTTTTTCTATCTGATTCTATATCACTGTTAATTTGTAATTTTTTGCTTTATTTAGAAACAAAGCTCTCTAGGGGTCCACTTTAACACAAAGAACTAGTATAACTAGTATTGATCATTCAAAAATATACAAAACTAGTTTTGTGCATATCAAAATGTGCAAAACTAGTTCCGACTATTTTGTAACACTCAATCGCCGCATAAAAGTACGATTTCGGGTCTGGGAATTATTCGTTGCGCAAAATTAGTTTTGTGCATTTTTTTCGGGCATTGCCCGAATTCGAGTATTACGCGTAACATATGCATGATTAAGCACCGCCTCATTTTATGTCTATATTAGTTTTAAGAGTTTTATTATTATTTAAATTGATTTTATTAAAAGTAAATTGATATTTGTAAAAAATAATTGACAAATGCATGGTCAACTTTAGTTTCGAATGAGTATTGTATTAATATATCGTTTTTCTCGAAAATATTGTTTTTTTTTTAAATAAAAAGATAAAAAGTTTTAAAGTTAAGTTTGCTATAAAATAAAATTAAAATTTTTAAAATATTACCAGACAAAAAATTAGTAAAAGGGTGGGTTACCCCGAAACTACCTTTTAAAATGCATCAAATAATTCTTACTCAACCCCAAATTAATAAAATGCCTCAATAATGTGGCAAATATACAGGGTGTTAGTATTCGACCGGCAACACTCTACCACAGAGAGCTCTCGTTAATAATTGATGAATTTTGATATAGGAACATGAAACATTAATAGAATTTTTAGACCTAACTTATCAAACATAAAGTCCTAAATATTACCACTATCCCCCCAGACTTAAACTTTATTTCCAAACTTAAACTCTGGATGCGCCACTGCCGAGAAACAGGGTGTAAAAAGTTTTAAATCAAAATTCAAAATTTGTCATTAAATTTTTTTCAAATTTGATTTACCAAGATCTTGTAAATACACGAATATTAAAAATTTGACAAGTACTTAATAGAATAGAATTTAGAAATATTGAGTCGTTACAAATTATCCAATTAAATGCAAGACTTTTGTTTAGAACCTAAATTCTATAAAACCGTCCATTTTAGCTCCACGCAAAATAATCGTCTAAATAGGTACTCGTAAACAAAGAATTAAAAAAATATATAAAAAATAAAAAAATGTTTGTTCCAGTGGCGTAAAACAAAGGGGAAAAAGTGGGGGAAGAAATAGGGGAAAAATTGCCACTAACCTTGATAGCGCGCCACTGGTTGAATTTTTTAAAAGTTAGTTTATGTCAAAATATAACTTTCTTAAAGAGTATATTGGTCACCAAATTTTAAAAAAAGATTTAAAGGTGTTTTTGATTTATGGCAAATTTTGAATTTTGATTTCAAACTTTTACCACCCTGTATCTCGGTATCTAAGCCTTTGAAGGTTCCCCATGTTCCTATATCAAAATTTATTAGCGCTCTGCGTGGTTAGAACATTGTCGGTCGAATATAGGTAGGTACTAGCAGCCTGTAGATATTTTAGTTGAACGGTAGAAATACATACATTTTTTTTCGAAAATTAGGGCCATATTTTGAGCTTCCATAACTCCTTAGGATATACAATTTGGTATAGAGGTAAGCAATATTTTGGGGTGCCAAACACGCACCTGCTCTGTGTTGGTACTTTTGCGAAACACCCTGTATAGGTGTCAAAGTTACGATGTGTTTATTTTTGACAAAAAGTTATCTTTCCAAGAAGGGTTTAAGGCTGCAAAAACTATTTTGGACATAAAAGACATGATAACAGCTTTAAAAATAAAAACTGGGGGATATAGAACCTAATTTAAAAAAATATCTAATTTATTATTGAAACATCCCGTATATTTAAATTTTTCAGATATTTTATTCTGATATTTTATAGAGAATTCTTTTTAACAAGCAATTTATGACATATTGAGAGAAACATTTTCTAATTTACCTACATACAGGGTCCGTCAGAATTATAATAGTAATCAGTGACAGGGTGATTCTAAACTACGCTGCTGAAATAATACTATAGGAAGTTTCTTTAAAATTAAAACACCCGCATTTTTTGTTTTTTTGTATTTTTGTTTTAAGAAACAGGGCCGACAAGAAGGGGGGTAGCCGGGACTAATTTCCGGGGCGCGGGGTCAAGTGGGGGCCCGGCAGCGGCATAAAGGGGTTCAGGCAGCGGCCTAGCCCGGCAGCTTTAGATGAGGATGTTTTAGAAGTTCGCCACGAGAAGCACAAAAGGGAGGACCTTTTTTTGAGATTTCACTGAAGAGAAGAAGTTTTTATTTTGCTTGAAGACTTTTTTTTAGAAATGTGATATTGAAAGAGGTTAATTTTTTTATAAAATTGTAAAATTGTTGTCGCGGGGCCCGACCTGGAAAATTGAAAATCAAATATTTAGGAGCCAGGAGTAAGGTGGAAACAACAAGTAGAAAAAAATTAAAAAGACAACGAACATAAGAAACTGGACAACAATTGCTAAGGATAGAGAAAAATGGAAAAATAGAATTTGGTTAAACTTACAACTCAGTAATAATGTTGTTTTGGTCCTTATTTTCTATTATAAATCAGCACAAAAGAATTAAAACACAATACACAGCAAAATAACGCAATTTCTTGAAATCTAAATAACTTTAACAAGCAATATAAACACACTACAATAAGTCGTTGATAATAAATGAAAATGATTCTCTATTTGTCAATAGAAGAATGAAGTTAATCATGTGCAACTAACAATACAATAAAGCAGTAATATTGGTTGCCTACATGTCAGTAATGTTTTACCAAAACACAATCGTATAAATAATCTAGTCAAATTAGAAAAAATATTCTACCTATGTACCTAACACGTTACGAAATGCCGTTTCATTTAACTCGTTCATGTTGCGGAACCTCGCTTTGCTCGTCCCGCAAATATTCTCACCTTACATAAAATAAGGCATTTCGTAACTGATTTCATAAATAACTATTATGTTATATACATTTATGTTCCCTTTATCTTTTTTTAGGTAATAAACATTTATTGGTATTTTTTTTTTTTTAAACAACCACCTATAATTATTTCTGGGAGAAACATTGTCGAATTGGTCAGCCGAGCCTACTATTCGAACCTACCATATAAATATACCTAAAAGCTAAATAATGTACCTACCCAACCCATTTGCACTTCACTGGCCTAAATATACATTTATCTATCGTGTTACAATGCAGTTGTGGCAGTGGTCGTCCGAACAGTAGGAATATGTCGGTGTAGGTACTAGCATATGTACCACTTGGCAGCTGACGTGTTAAAGAGGGAAATTACAAAATTATTTTTTTTATATCTCGAAAACCAGCGAAACGATTTCTATGCGCCGTGAGACGTAAACCTAAATTGACTCAACATTTTTATAATCCAACTTTTTTCTCAGTGTAAGACTATTATTTTTTTCACAATTAATTTCTAAAATAAGGTCATCTTTCCTTTTTACGCTACACGGCACCGTTTTCTGTTAAAAAATAAATTTTAGCCATCACTTTACAATAGGTAGGTATTCTTTTTCTTCTAAAAAAAACACAATACAAACTCATGTAGGTGCCTACTAAAAATTCGAACAAAATAAAAAATGGATTGGTATGTTCATTTTAAAGATCTCTCTATAGTACCTATTATTATTATTTTGGTAGCATCGTTTAGATTCACCCTGTAGAACAGACAACTATAGTTCTGACAGACCCTGTATGTATATCTAAACATTAGGCAATTTTGCTCTAAAACATGTCTTCAACAGAGACTCTATGATAACTCGATACAATAATTCGATCATAAAAAAAATCATAACCTAAAACTAACAATTAAAACAGAAAATAGCTCCTACCTGAACTCGGCCGATCAGAATATCTCGTGCAATAAACCCAAGCGGGCCAAAGAGTCGGCACGTTCCCGTCTTCGTCCTTCTTCTCCTCCTCCTCGGGATTAGTCAAATCGTTTTCAGGAGTTTTCGGCCTGGAAACGGGCTCTGGATGTTTCCTGATCCCAATACTGTTCTGAGACACACTCTGGCACAAATTTCCCAACGAAGCCACCGGATTGTTCGTTTGCTTCGTCTCGCACTTCTCGTACGGTTTAAAAATCACCCTCGGCTGAATCCTCGTTTTCAATACTGCTGATTTGCCGAATTCCGGTTTCAAAATGTTCGTTATGGAATATTTCAACGTTTGTATGGAGGGTTCGTTGTGTTCTGATGATGATTTCGACGAAACGCTTTCATTGGGCGAGGGGGATCTGAATCCCCTGGAGGTTTCGCTTTTGGGGCTGTTTAGGGCGAAGTTGGTGATCCTGAAGAAAGATCGTTCTGTTTCAGGTTTGATCGGATACGTATTTGATACGAAACTCCTTGATGTAGTATCCTCGTGGTTGTGATTAATAGTCATGCAAGTGTAGGAAGAAGTTTTCGTAGATTCCGGCGAATTAGGATCATTCGTCGCTCCATTAGGACTAGCCCCAGCGTTGGGACTAGAACGGTCTTCAAAAGCCATCGATAAGTTGTAATTCATCAAGCTGTCAGACGGTGTGACACACAACAATAACAAACACCAACAACCCACCAGAGTAAGTAACACAGCACACGAATCTAGTACTCACTGGTAAAACGGGTGCTGTCAAACTGAAGTGAGATTTCAAAATAGTCATCTTTATCAGGGAGGCATGGCTTGGCCACGCCTACAGAGACATGCGCCAGATATTGAGCAGTTTCGAGATGGCTTTGCTTTCTCTGTCTTTGGCTTCGGTTGTAGAGTTACATGTTATGTTGGATCAGATATAGATATATATAAACGTTTATTATAATTATAATTTATTTCTAACGGGGAATTCTTAGATTTAATAAATTTCAAAAGCCGAGATCCAGTTTGCGGCGATATGTTTATCTATCGATTTCTCGATATGCAGGTTAGTCGGAACGTTTTATAATGAGGTGTAGAGGTGGGTGTTACTTTTAAATTGATTAATTGATTCATTAATTATTAACTATATTTAAAAACTTGTATTTTCGGTATTCTACAGAAAAATAATTCTAAAGTTTCACTAATTACACAAAAAATGTTTAATCTCTAAGATACGAGAGGGTTAGTTAATAATTTATTTTTTATTTTTTAATAAGGTCCCAACGTAGTGTTTTATTTTTAGTATACATACCACCCCACAGAAAGCCAATTATTGAGTGAAGACTGACATATCAATATAAGATAAAGATAGGGTTGGAAGAAACCTAAGAATTAAAAATATATAAGTAGGTATGTTTTTAAGTTATTTATTACGACGAGCGAACAAATCATTTTTCTATAAAAATTTCAAATTTATTAATGTTAACTTGATGATAAGGATACCATACCTGTACTGCATATTCTAATTTAGGCACAACAAAACAGTTAAAAAGTAAAACAAACCCTAGATTTCTAAAAGCGTCTGTTTGGGTATTTCTAATGTTGCTAATGCAGTTAGTAGTCACAATGATATCATTAAACATAAGAAATAGCAGTGGACCTAATACTGAGCCTTATGGGACATAAAATGTCAATTTAAAACGTTTGATACCACGATATACTACAATCAATATTCTTTGTGTCAGGTATGTAGTAAGAGATTTACAAATTATTTATTTAAGCCTAAATTAAAAAGTTTGGACAGTAGAACACCATGGTCCAACCGGTCAGACGACTTAGAAAAATCTATATAAATGACATCAAACTGACCACTATTGTCTAAATGATCTGGGTTAAGTTTGTTCTTGGCTTCCCAGATTATAAATTAAAATAATTTTAAGTTGACTAATTACAAGATTCTATAGCAGCTTACTATATATTGTCATAAAGAATAAGAGGAAGTAGAAAAATTATAACTCTGTAAAAAGTTAATTGCACAATTTTAGGGTTCTAACTGATTGAAAGTATCTACTGAGATTAAAAAATATATATTTTGGGTTTGTAAGTTAGTTAAATGATTGAATTTAGATCATTTTAGTTCAAATTTAATTGATATTGAAGGTTTCAATTAATATGAGTTTTTAAAATGGTTTATAAAGATATTTTGAAAGTGATTTTTCTTCGTTAAAATACTTATTAGTAACATTTTTAGAAATAGGTAATGTAAATTGTTTAAACAAAATGTTTCTAAAGCAGGCCACAGAAAAAATAACGCATGTCGGAGACAACTCTTATTCTTTTTGAAATAATAATTTAGATTTCATTTAGAAGCATATAATTATTACAAAATGATTCGTATCTGTGTCTTTGTCGGTCAATATCCATTATCCAATATGACAGAAAAATAATTATAGAAAATAAATTGTTCTTTTATATTAATTCTATTTAAGGTTTAAGTCGATCGTAACTATTAATTTTACTGTTTTTGCAGCCTTAATTACATAAGTTTTGTTATAAGGGATTTCAAGGTCAAAGAATGAACAATAATAAGGCTAATGCTACTACGTTTGAAATATACCTCATCGAGCAGAGCGAGTAGATTTTGTGATCACGTGACATCGAGCAAACCATATCAATGGAGCAAACAGAGCAAAAAGGACGGTATCGAGTAAAAAAGCAAAACCAGGTACTTTTCAAACGCAGCATATGTAATAAGTCTTACCTAAATTTATTGTTAAAAGCTTATGCCCTAGTAGGGTACTTTGTGGACCACCATACTCATTTGAATGAGGATTACTTGATAGTCCGTTTATTCTTACTATCTGCTATTTGATAAGTAACTGTCAAACAATTTTAGAGGAGTATACTTCTTAATCTTATGTGGGTGGCTGACAGTATCAAATGCTTTTAACAAATCTAAAAATATGCCTAGGCATGGGTTTGAGTCATTTAGTGAGAGGAATAGATTTTAGATAAAGGGTTAGAATAACATCTTGAGTAGACTTTTTCTCGCGGAAGTCGAACGGCCAGTTTGAAAGATATCATATTTTGTTAAATAAGATGTTAAACGAAAGTGGACTGTTTTTTCAAACATTTTGAAAAAGTAATGAGGAATATTTATTTATGAAATAAGAAATAAACAAACATATTTAACACCTCTTATTTATAATTCAATAGGACAGAGAAGCTTTTTATATTTTGGGCCAAAATTATACATTTTACTCAAACTTCATTTAATATTTTTAAAAGGAATCTAAAAATATATATTAAAACTATACCCAGAATACAAATAGATTAATTGAAAACTAAATAAAAAAGTAACTCATAAAAAAATACTGCAAATGTTTTGAAATGTTTCGAAATGTTTTGAAATGTTTTGAAATGTTTTGAAATGTTTTGAAATGTTTTGAAATGTTTTGAAATGTTTTGAAATGTTTTGAAATGTTTTGAAATGTTTTGAAATGTTTTGAAATGTTTTGAAATGTTTTGAAATGTTTTGAAATGTTTTGAAATGTTTTGAAATGTTTTGAAATGTTTTGAAATGTTTTGAAATGTTTTGAAATGTTTTGAAATGTTTTGAAATGTTTTGAAATGTTTTGAAATGTTTTGAAATGTTTTGAAATGTTTTGAAATGTTTTGAAATGTTTTGAAATGTTTTGAAATGTTTTGAAATGTTTTGAAATGTTTTGAAATGTTTTGAAATGTTTTGAAATGTTTTGAAATGTTTTGAAATGTTTTGAAATGTTTTGAAATGTTTTGAAATGTTTTGAAATGTTTTGAAATGTTTTTAAATGTTTTTAAATGTTTTTAAATGTTTTTAAATGTTTTTAAATGTTTTTAAATGTTTTTAAATGTTTTTAAATGTTTTTAAATGTTTTTAAATGTTTTTAAATGTTTTTAAATGTTTTTAAATGTTTTTAAATGTTTTTAAATGTTTTTAAATGTTTTTAAATGTTTTTAAATGTTTTTAAATGTTTTTAAATGTTTTTAAATGTTTTTAAATGTTTTTAAATGTTTTTAAATGTTTTTAAATGTTTTTAAATGTTTTTAAATGTTTTTAAATGTTTTTAAATGTTTTTAAATGTTTTTAAATGTTTTTAAATGTTTTTAAATGTTTTTAAATGTTTTTAAATGTTTTTAAATGTTTTTAAATGTTTTTAAATGTTTTTAAATGTTTTTAAATGTTTTTAAATGTTTTTAAATGTTTTTAAATGTTTTTAAATGTTTTTAAATGTTTTTAAATGTTTTTAAATGTTTTTAAATGTTTTTAAATGTTTTTAAATGTTTTTAAATGTTTTTAAATGTTTTTAAATGTTTTTAAATGTTTTTAAATGTTTTTAAATGTTTTTAAATGTTTTTAAATGTTTTTAAATGTTTTTAAATGTTTTTAAATGTTTTTAAATGTTTTTAAATGTTTTTAAATGTTTTTAAATGTTTTTAAATGTTTTTAAATGTTTTTAAATGTTTTTAAATGTTTTTAAATGTTTTTAAATGTTTTTAAATGTTTTTAAATGTTTTTAAATGTTTTTAAATGTTTTTAAATGTTTTTAAATGTTTTTAAATGTTTTTAAATGTTTTTAAATGTTTTTAAATGTTTTTAAATGTTTTTAAATGTTTTTAAATGTTTTTAAATGTTTTTAAATGTTTTTAAATGTTTTTAAATGTTTTTAAATGTTTTTAAATGTTTTTAAATGTTTTTAAATGTTTTTAAATGTTTTTAAATGTTTTTAAATGTTTTTAAATGTTTTTAAATGTTTTTAAATGTTTTTAAATGTTTTTAAATGTTTTTAAATGTTTTTAAATGTTTTTAAATGTTTTTAAATGTTTTTAAATGTTTTTAAATGTTTTTAAATGTTTTTAAATGTTTTTAAATGTTTTTAAATGTTTTTAAATGTTTTTAAATGTTTTTAAATGTTTTTAAATGTTTTTAAATGTTTTTAAATGTTTTTAAATGTTTTTAAATGTTTTTAAATGTTTTTAAATGTTTTTAAATGTTTTTAAATGTTTTTAAATGTTTTTAAATGTTTTTAAATGTTTTTAAATGTTTTTAAATGTTTTTAAATGTTTTTAAATGTTTTTAAATGTTTTTAAATGTTTTTAAATGTTTTTAAATGTTTTTAAATGTTTTTAAATGTTTTTAAATGTTTTTAAATGTTTTTAAATGTTTTTAAATGTTTTTAAATGTTTTTAAATGTTTTTAAATGTTTTTAAATGTTTTTAAATGTTTTTAAATGTTTTTAAATGTTTTTAAATGTTTTTAAATGTTTTTAAATGTTTTTAAATGTTTTTAAATGTTTTTAAATGTTTTTAAATGTTTTTAAATGTTTTTAAATGTTTTTAAATGTTTTTAAATGTTTTTAAATGTTTTTAAATGTTTTTAAATGTTTTTAAATGTTTTTAAATGTTTTTAAATGTTTTTAAATGTTTTTAAATGTTTTTAAATGTTTTTAAATGTTTTTAAATGTTTTTAAATGTTTTTAAATGTTTTTAAATGTTTTTAAATGTTTTTAAATGTTTTTAAATGTTTTTAAATGTTTTTAAATGTTTTTAAATGTTTTTAAATGTTTTTAAATGTTTTTAAATGTTTTTAAATGTTTTTAAATGTTTTTAAATGTTTTTAAATGTTTTTAAATGTTTTTAAATGTTTTTAAATGTTTTTAAATGTTTTTAAATGTTTTTAAATGTTTTTAAATGTTTTTAAATGTTTTTAAATGTTTTTAAATGTTTTTAAATGTTTTTAAATGTTTTTAATGTTTTTAAATGTTTTTAAATGTGTTTAAATGTTTTTAAATGTTTTA